TTCAGACTTCACCCAGAAAGCTCCCAAGATTTTGAGCCAACACTGCCTCACTGAAGAATAGTTCCCATAATCCATGCATATAAAAATATCCCTAGATTGTTAGCCATTTTAATTTTGATTTCATTTTATCATTTATCATTTTAATTTTTACAATAAAATTTTTCAACCTTCTGGTAATTGTCTCGATATATTCGAGCTATTTTGCATGATGACAATGTTTTTGTCTCATTTTGTGTAACCAAATGGTATATGTCCTTACTAAGAACTTTACCAGCTTCCAAAGTTACAGAAAGTGCAAGAATCACAATAGAACTGGGTGCTGGTGAAAACAATGACTAAAGTCTCCAATTCCAACTAAAAGGAGAAATTCTTGGCACTTCTGCTTGGTGAGAGAGGCCAACCCAGTTTGATTGATGTTAACCAAAGAGATATCAGAGAGGACACTGGGAGCACACAGAAGTGACCTTTTGGGGGAATGGAAACCTCCTGCAGAAGGAAGGTATGTAAGTTAGTCCACTCAACTCCTTCCTGTATGACTGGAGGGACCTAGTCCAGCCTCTATCCACTTCACTAAGCTGAGGTCTGGCAGAGTATGTGGGGTTCTTATGGCAAAAGAATTAAATGCAGGAGAAAGACAAAGGAGCTAAAAGAAGGGACACTAGGCTACATTCCCCCTGCTTTTTATGGAAGCAGTTTTCTAAGAATTTCTAAGAATTTTCTAAGAATTCCTGTAAGTGTAATGAAAGGGTCTAGGTTCTGAACCAAAACCTGAGCCTGCACCTGTCTCCAAGAGCTGCCACGCGGTAGAGGTCCCTCACACAGAAGGCTGTGAAGTGGTCCACGTGTGGGTTTGGTGAGGAAAGCTTTGCCCCTGGGGCTGATCACTCCTTCCAGGAAACTGCAGGTGAAGGGCTCTGTGGCCCCTGAGAAACCACTGACACCATCACAGGAAAGCAAGCATTTGTGTACCTGCCACCCTGTGCAAGCACTTGTATACCTGCCACCCTGTCCAGACAGAGATAAGAAGCAAGAGGAAGGGGTAGGAACCTCTTCTCCACACCATGGGGCTGCTCACATGGAGGGGGAGCCTTCTCAACCAAGGAGACAAGGCTACTGAGCCCAGGAGAGAGTGAGTGCAGAGTTCTTCCTTCTCTCCCCTCTCTGCCCAGCCTCAGAGAGTGACAAGGGATGAGTGTGAAAGAGCAGACAGGACACCTGTCACTAGAGCCACTGGAGCCTTCCTGCTGGGTGGAGCTGGAGGGCAGAACTTTTACCCTAAAATAAAAATCAAGGTTCAAAATTAATACATGAAGTGTGCATTTGGAAGAAAACTGCTTTAATAACTAAAACAAAAAGAAAAGATAACCTGTGTTCCAATTGAAAAGAGAGGACTGATAAATCAAAGCAGAGAATTAGCATGATTTTCACTGAAAATAACTGCTGAATTCATGTGAGATTTTACCGTTCTCAGGACCTGTAACTGGCATGTTTAGCTATGTTTTCACTTAAATTCTGCTCTTCAGAATATCAAATTGCCCTAAGGATAAAAAGATAGACAGTCTTTAACCATTCTGGTTAAATTTGAATTTATCACCCCTTTATTTGACTTCATTTTCAAATTCAAAGAGTGATGTTACATGATGGATTCCAGTGATAATCTACTCATTTCTGAATTTCAACTCTTGGATAATAGATAGATGGTAGTTAGAAAGAAAGAAAGATAGATAGATAGATAGATAGATAGATAGATAGATAATAGATAGATAGATAGATAGATAGATAGATAGATAGATAG